AATCGCGACGCGAAGGATCGGAAAATAGCGACAGTTACATCACTCGCTCGGTAACACGCAACATCTGCTGCGTCCGGGCGAAAAGATTTATCATCCAACGAAGGACGACTCGCCGCGGTGCGTGCGCGCGACGATAATGGACCCACGTAATCCCGCGGGAATTACGTGAACATGAGAGAAGAGTGGCAAAAAGAAACGAAGGAAAAGAGGAGCGGAGGAGCTCGTCCGTTAACAACGGCGGTACGATCTCGAGCTGATACGCAGGCGATTTTCGGTGAAAGTGAAAGTATAATGCGCGGCCGGCCGCCCGGTGAAACGGACGCGAGTATAATGTCGTCCCGCGGCGTCGCGTCGCTGACACGCGTTATGCAAATGACGAAAGTGTAGCGCAAAAACCGACGGAAACGTGACGCGCATGAGAGCCGCTTCTAACGTTCGATTCCTCCGGCTCGCGCTGATATTTAATTTTTATAATGCCTCGTATACAGCCTCTCTCTCTCTCTCTCTCGCATTGATTTCCGCGATACTTTTCTTTATGCGCGCTCGTTCTTCCTGCGCGCACTTTATCAGCGTATATCGGCGAATTTTGGGAAAATTGGAGCAAACGTGGAGGTTACGTCGTAAAGATACGACGTTTGAAAATGCTACGACATTTCGAAATATGCAATTGCGCCTGGACGCTTCTCTCTCTCTCTCTCTCTCTCTCTCTTTCACGTTTCACATTTTCACTCGAAATTCTTTTGCTCGACTCGTTTATGCAGATTTAATTTTCATATCATTTCCCTCCGCTTATCGAGCGCGCGCTGATAAAATTCCACAAAAATAGCGCTCTCGCGCGGAGGAGAAAGTTCCGTTGGATTAACGCGGCCGCGAAGAAACCGAAATGCTTTTTTCCCCCTCCGTCCTATCGTTTTCTTGCGGAGTATCGCGCGTTATTAATTAAATACGATCCGTCTCTCAGAGGAGGCCGTCAATCTCGAGGTCCCGCTCCGACCGTATCGATCATAGACGCGAAAGTGCTCGAACTCGCTGGTGCGATCTGACGGATGAACGGATGAGCGGATATTCCGCAGCGCGGGGACGGCTCGTCCGTCGCGTTGCGCAACGTCGACGCACGTGTGTGTCGTTACGTTGGCTTACGCGCACATCGCGATGGCCGTTTCAGGTGGACACGCGACGGCTGCCACGTGTTGTGTAAACGTTGTTACAGGAAGAATTACATTTTCGCATGAGTATGTATCGCTCGAGGGCCGGACCCGATTGGCGAATCCCCGCGGACTGCCACAAGAATAGAGAGAGAAACCTAAATTTCTCCCGTATCCTTCGCGAGCTGTCACGCAACCTCGCGCAATTAATGCAGGAGGACACGATATCGCGATGTAGCGAAATCCTCACAGCAGGAAACGGTCACGCGCGCCGACGCGTTCGTCACTTCGTCATTTTCTTTCGCTCGCCGATTTTCTTTCAATAACACTCGTTTGAAGTCCACCGGCGCGGCGCGCGGCGGCGGCGGCGGCGATCCTGCCGATGCGACCAAGCCAGCTAGTGACAACTTCGGACTTGGGCTTGTGACTACATGAAGTTAGCCCCACCTTTTTTGAAAATTATATTTTTGAAAGTTGCTCCAGGTTGTTTCAACTTTGTTACCACATTGCTCCAAGGCGATATTATTTTATTCCAAACAGTTCTCAGATCGAAACGAGAGAAACTGTTTTTTTAACTGGCCCCCCTCTTTTACAAAAATCCAACATTTCTTTATCGTTGCAGATTGTGCTGCTTGTCCCAGAACAGAACATTTCTTTATCGTTCTGGTTATTCCAGAAGAACGAGAATCGGTGACTTTAACGGTCACCGTCAAGAGCATAGATGATACGAAATTTATACCACAGAACTGTTATACAGGCCTGGAACAACTCAGAACAAACAGCTGTCGATTGGGACGTGAAAGGAAGGGTAACGTTTACTCTTGATCGGGGAGTATTTATATGTCAATTTTTTATTTTGCTGGGCTTATGGTTCGACTTATGGAATTGTTCTTCTGGAAGAATGTCTGGCACAACTAGAACAATCTGTAACGATAAAGAAATGTTCGATTTTTGAAAAGGGGGGAGGGGCGAGGGGCCAGCTAAAAAAACAATTTTTCTCGTTTTATCGGAGAACTGTTTGGAATAAAATAATATCGCCTTGGAGCAATGTGGTACAAAGTTAGAACAATCTGGAACAACTGGCAATTTTCAAAAGAGGTCAGGCTAACTTCATGCACACCTTGGGCTTTTGTGTTTTGCCTGGCCGATCAATCGGCTTGCTCGGTGTTCGTCGTACCGGCTTGTAAGACTTTCTTCGTAAGCTCTTGAATTAATAACGGAATTTGTCGATAGCTTCAACAACGGCCTCTTGTTTAATGCGTCGCTGAAGCACGTTCGCGTAAGAAACGCGTCGCCATGATTCATGGAAGCTCTTCGATCATTTAACTCGCTTAATAATTGCTATATTAATCAACCTTTCACGATCGTGTGTCAAACACGGTGCTCCCTGCTGCGCGCTGTCTTTCGGACGACAAATCAATTTCGTAAGAAAAGAACGCGCTCGTTCCCCCCTCCCCCTCTTGATAAGGGAAGGAAACAAGGTTATGTAAATTTCGGCGGAGAGAATCTTTCACTTTTACGCGCTCGAACGACAGACAGACAGACAGACAGAGACAGAGAGAAAATGCGCGTTTCCGCACGGCGCTACCGCGACGACCCCGCAATTCCCGCATCGGCGCGCCTAATTGAAAAATGAATGAATATATCCGTCGACGCAGTGCGGCGGCTGCAGTCACTCTATCGCGCAGATCGAGTATCGCCGATTTAATGGTGGAGCATCGACGAGATTGCTTTCTAGCCGGAGGGAGTGTCAGCCGGCGCGATAATCGAGCGCGACGCAACAAATGCGCGTTCACGCCGTGCGAGACACGCCACGACGCAACGTGCGAATTGCGCGAGAACCGCTGGAAAATTCACGCAATCGCGCACGCGATTTCCTTCCTTCGCGACACGAGCGATTTTTGCAGCCGACCGGGCGCCACCGAGTAGATCCTCGCCGAGAGCGTGTGGATAAGCTCGCGCTGATAAAGTCCGTAGATATCGCTGGAAACGCGCGGCACGCTTGCGACAGAATCTGGAGAACAATGTCGCTCCTCGCTCTCCCTATCCCCCCCCCCCTCCTCCCACCTCCCCGCTCGATTCCTTCTCCTCGTTGTCTCGTTGCGTCCGATCCCATGTCGTAAAACGCAATGCGCTCTTCAAATGGTCGCGGGAGCGCGGGATCGACGCGAGAAGCTGCGCGAATGAGCGGACGTCGCCGAGAGAGAGAGAGAGAGAGAGAGAGAGAGAGAGCGAGAACGAGGGAGGGGGGAGGCAGAGCTTGCAGATGGCCAAATAAAGCGCGATCGGCGGGAAAGCGCGCGATACAACGCGAAGGAGAGACGTGCGATTCAAATTATGTAACCTTGTTACCAAACCAGTTCGGCGTGATCGCGCGAGCGCGCCGCGGCGGCGTGACACAATAGTGATTAGCGGCGTAATTAGACTAATTGAGTAGCTACGTGTGTAACTCGCTCGCCGTCGGAGATTCGCGTGATTCGCGGGGCCGAATTCAGCGACGATCCGCGGCCGTCGTCGCTATTAATTAATTATACTTGACGCATCGGCAAGCCTCTACTTTCGCCGCCGCGCCGTCAACATCGTGCGTGATCCGCGCGGCCTTTGACCTTCCAGCGGGGCGCGACCAGCGCAGCCAGCTCCGCCGGCTCTAATTGAACGGCGGGCCGCCGTTACGACGAGAGCAAGGCGAATTACGTGGAGTCGCGTTGTCGATGGCGCGCGAGCGTATTTCTCGTATTTATTACACATCGCGGCGCCTATTTATTACACAACGATGCGACTTCGGATCGCGCGGGCGAGGCAGCGGCATCCTGCGCGACTCGTCAGGAGGAGAAACGCCGCCGGCGGATCCTCGCCCCGGCCGGCTCGCGGCGTTATCAAGGATTTCCGTCAGCGGAATATCCGCAATCGACGGGATGTCGAAAGTCCACTTACAAAGGGATAGATGCTGCTGAAGCGGCGACAGTGGCGCGGACAGTGGCGTACATACAGCCGGAGCTTTCGATCCCTCCTCGGTGCTTCGCAGCTTCGGAGGAAGTCGCGGGAGGACGGGCTAACGGCCGGAAGACGTAACTCCTCGTACGAACGTTTATTCGCCGCCGCCTGTCCGAGCGAGGAGACGACGACGACGACGACGACGGTATCGTTCCACTCGGAAAATAACGCTCCTCGCGGCCGCCCCGGCTGTCGGGGTCGTCTTTTGAACGGGACGTCCTTACGCTGTCTCGCGGACGTTTACCCCGTCCGGCTGATTTCTTACCCTCTGCTCTCTCTCTCTCTCTCTCTCTCTCTCTCTGTGTGTGTGTGTGCTTGGGGAGGTGAGACAAAGAGAGAGAGAGAGAGAGAGAGACATTCCGCTCGCTCTTGCGTATTCTCGCGCGCGCTGCGCTCAGCGGTAGCTACGCTCTTGGCAACCTCGTGAGGCGGCAGCCGCAGTTTTTCATGCAGAGAGGACATTTCCCTCTCCCCTGCCGCGTCCGCGTCCGCGTCCGCGACTGCGTTCGGGGGAACGCCGCGAAACTAATTAACGCGCGCGCGGCGCGGGTCGATACGCGAAACGAGATCGTTGACTGTGGAGACGGAAGCTGAAACGCCTGAAACGCGCGCGAGGGGACTCTGCTGGCCGTAAACTTCCTCGCTCTCGTCGAGCTCTGAAAATCGCGCGATTACGCAAAAATCAGACCTTACGGCGGAGATTTCCATTCGCCCTCGAAGGCGAAATCCTTTCATTTTTATGCTCGACATTCTTGCTCCCTCATTCCCGGAGGGAAAGTTTAATTTCTCCCTCTCTCTCTCTCTCTCTCTCTCTCTCTCTCTCTCTCTCTCTCTTCAAAGCAGACTTCTCGCCTCGGGCTCGTTTCTTTCGTATTTGTCGGGAAAACGACGGGATAATTATGGGGAGAGGTGTTTACGCGTTTATAAACGCGTTTGCAAATCGCGAATCGACCTCGCGCGGTCACCTCTCCGACTTGACGCGTTCGCGCGCGTGCTCGAGTTTCCACGTGTGACACGTGACACGTGTCAATTAACTACTCTTTAGCGTTTCCTTTGTATTTGTATGATTAAAAAAATATGTACGCCGCGCTGGAATAATTGGAACACAGCCGTGGCTCCTACCGAAGGCTTCTTTCTTTTCAATCCGACCGTGACGACGGTGACGACGAACGCGTCAAGTACGTAACGTTAGCTGGAAATTATGTGAACTTTTTGGTGAGGTCCGGAGAGAGAGAGAGAGAGAGAGAGAGAGAGACTCCGAGCTGCAACATCAGCGTCGAAAGGAAACGTCAGCACCGCGCGGGGGAATAGGCAATTACCCGCCAGGCGAATTTGTTTGATTTCTAGTTTAATGAAGCGCGTTTAATGTTTCATGTACACAAACAGGCACATTACCACTGCATTATGGCATCATACGTATTCATTACGCTTCGCTCTGTTGCGCGTTGTGCGAAATCGCTGAGAATTCGGTACTCCGGTAAAAATTCGCCCGATCCGAATGGAGAATTCATCGAATCCTCCTACGTCGCTCGTCACCGACCGTTACCGGCCCCGACATGGCACTAATCCGGCGATACAAAATATTACAAGAGAATATAATTTCGTATAGGACGCACGGGAGAGCGATTTAAACGAAACGCTTATTTAAACGCTATCGAGGAATCCCCCAAGGGGAAACGGCGTCGAGGGTGGGCTCGGTGTCCTGCAGAGTGAAAAACCCGAGAGGCGAGAGGGGACTCGGATGGGGCGCGGACTTTGATCCTGCAGTTTCCTCGGCCGCGGACGAAGGGTCGTCGAGGGTTACCCTCAGAAACGACCGCACTCGTCGCCGGCGTTCTTGATGGTAGCCCCGCCGAATACCTTCACGGGCGTCCTGCTCCAGGAAATCAGCATGAGCGAGCCGCCCAAGGAAGGGCTGCCTCTGCCCACTCGGCAATGCGCATAAGACAGTTTCACCAATTGCAGACCCAGGGGAGCGTCCGGCGAGATTTCGTACTCGCGGCTCTTCCCGATCGCGTTTCGCCGCACCGGCCAAGTTCTTTCTCTCCACGTGTCGTCGGTGGCGTTCGGCAGATGCAGCGCTGGCGACGGCGACGGCGACGGCGACGGCGACGAGATTGCAGGACCGTTGTCCGGCGTCACCTCCGGGTGGTCGGTCTGGAAAATTCTGCGGGACCAATTAGGGTTGAGCGCGAATCGGCTGGAAACGAGCCTGTCGAGCGCAGAGCCGCGATCCGATCGCGCGTCCGCTGCTATTTTCGTCGGGATCCTCGCGGCGTAGATATTGCGCTCGGCCAGATTGGTAGCGGCCGCGATGGCCGGCGGGAATGAGAGCCTTTGATAGCCGCCATCGAGGTAATCGAACGCCGAGGCTAGCAGAAGATTGAAGCCGAAAACCGAGCCCTCGATGCCCTCCTCCAGCCCTTTATCGAAGTCCGTGTACTCTTGACCCAGGACAATGTCGCCGGCTGCCGGCACCACGTGATCTATCATCTGCAAAAGAGAGAGAGAGAGAGAGAGAGAGAGAGAGAGCCTGGTGGAGATTCTTTCGTCAACACTCGCAGCTCGCGTGTCAATTCGCGTGTCGCAACTCGTTAGACTCGCACACGTCTCCTAATTTGGAGAGAGCCGAGAGGAGAGAGAATCGAACACAGGCTCCTCCCCGCGAATATTTCGGAACTTTGGCGCGAATTTCTAAGGCTCGAATGTAAAAGGCAAACTTTGCACTCGATCTCGAGCCGAGAGAAAGATTCGCCAATCTGATCTCGAGAGAGTTGTTACATGCCTTTACTTTCTTTCAACCTCCGCGTGTGCGTGCGCGTGCGCGTGCGCGTGTAGGTGTGACTCTCCGGTTTGCGCGAGGAGAGAAGGTAGCCTCGTTGGCGAGGGAAAAAATTCTGACGAAATCCGTGCCGGCACGGAGAGAGAGCCTCGCGATAGCGGACTAACGTAACTAACGTAACTCGTGATTTACCTGCTCGGAGTGACCTTGCAACTCCAAACGCCCGTCGAGCCACAGGGCGTAACGACCGACCCGATTCTCCCAGCTTTGACATATGTGGTACCAACGGTGCTCTCGTATGCCAACCGGCCACCCGAATATCTCCGCGCCGTTGATTTCCAGGTGAACGCTCCTTCCGCCCGACGATATCCAAGATCGAATCAAACGTTCCTGCTCGTTCCCTTTGACAGCGAAGGGGAGAATTGTGCTCGTGTCGTTTTCTCTCCCCCTCGCTCGACGGGGATTTTAGGCAGCGGAAAGCGCGCGCGCGCGCGAGAGAGAGAGAGAGAGAGAGAGAGACTAGAATTTACACAACCGTCGCGTCGTCGGCAGCGTCTACATAATATTAATAAAAGAGAGCGCGTTCTACATAATATTAATAAAATATCTCTCGATTGATGTGTCGCACTTGAGAGATGAGACGCAAACGCTCGCGTTGCAGCGCCTGCACGCGTTTCATGGAAGAAACGTTTCAAGGTTCCAACCTGAACGCTGCTCATTTCGTCCTCGCAGCCTCTTTCTTCTCCTCGGCTCTTCTTACGTCACATTACCAGCTCGCTTATCCCGCTTACAGCTCTCAACAGAGCGCATTATCGCGCAAGTGGGTTAAGATTTCAATGTGGCGCGCTCAACGAAACGAAACACTTTCCGCGAGGAATGACGCTGCGCAATTGGCCGACGCGTCGTAAATATTCAAATTCGATTCGACGACGATTGGAGCCGGCTAGTTAGGAGCCGCGTTATATTTCGTAATTCGGCGCTATTAGCGTTTCCTAGCCAGCGAGACCGCGGCGGCGGCAGAGCTGATTCTCGCACATAAAGAAGGATAATACGCGCCTTGGCGCGCGGCGCGGCCAAGTGTTCATTAACATGCTGCTAACTTAAACTGCATTAAACTGCGGCGTGCAGCACACGCGCGAATGAAGAGGCCGGGTGTTTTCCATAAGCGAAGATACTTTTCTCGCCGACTTTCCGCGGTAACGACTCTTGCGTAACTACCCGCTGAATGCCTGAGTGGATAATGGCGGCTGCGTCATGTAAGGAAGCAGATTCTCCTTGCTGTTGTCAGGCGGTTAAGACGATTGTCGATAGAAATAGAATAGAGCGTTAAAACGTCGCGGAAGCGGGAAGAGACGCCACCTTTACCCTCTCTCTCTCTCTCTCTCTGTGTCGTTTACGCACACATATTACGTTTGCGCGAGCAAGTTACGCGTAAGCGATCACGCTATCTCGCGCTTGAATCGCGGTTGAAACGATATGGGAGTCTTTTAGCAAACGTGATTGTTTGGCGTAGGGATGGGCGTTCTTGTCAAATATTCAATATGCAATATGCAGTATCAAAAGTTTGTATTAATTAGTTAAATTACGATCTCGCCGAGGATACTCACTCGAGTACGAAAGGATGGAGTGCGGATGCTTGAGATCATTCGACTTCACCCACAGGCAGAATGTAAACTCGTGGATCGCTGGCACCGGCAATTCCCATCTGAGAAACTGAAAAGTGGCGATAATTAGCGGACAGCGTCGTCGCGTGCGACACACTTGGCGCGCTCGCTTTTAGTCGCACGGAATTTTTGATCGACCCGACGATCCGCCTTTCTCGGGGAAAAAAAATCGCACGATCCCAAATTCGTCCGATGAATCTCTCCCGATGAATCTCGCAGATGAGATCTCTCAATGAGTCCCCCGCAATTCGGGAGTTGCTCGCACAAAAAAATAGGTTTTAGAAATTTCTTCTCTTTTTTTTTTAAGGCTGGAAGAGAGCATTTTCTCCGCGCAAAAGAGAGACGGAGAATTATCTCGAATTGATTGATGCAAATGCGCGGATGGAAGAAAGCGCGCACGATCTGGAACGCTTGGCACGCTCATCCCGTAAAAACGCGCGTGTAAACGACACGGCTGACATGTTTCTTCCTTCGAGAGCGAAGGACGAAAATTAAGCAATCGACGTGAAAGCAATTCTCTCTCTTTCTCCTTTTCCCTTCCTTTCTTTTCTTTCCCTTTTCCTTTTCTTCACGTGCCGTGGAATTGCCCGAGTCGCGCGCGCGTCTGCCGCTCACCTAATCGATAATAATCTCACAGTTTTCCACGCTTCGCTGAGACATGTGTATACCTTTCATGTCCGACAACATGTCGATTTTTCATCGCTCGCCTCTCGTCGTTTTGCTAGGCTTTTCACTCTCGCCGTTTGTAATTGCGATGGATTGCGGAACGACGTTCGCTGCGCAATCCGGCGCGGCCGATCCGGCTGGTAAGCCGAACGAACACATCCCGTCGAAACTACCTATACGAAATTCCTCGCGAATACCGCGGCGCGTGAATGAAAGAAACGCTATTCTCTCCGGCCCTCACCTGAATGTAGCCCTTTTGCGTCAACTGGACCTTGTGCATCGGCGGCTTGCCGCCGACGTTCCTCTCAGCGCCGGCGAGTGCGGTCGGCAGTTCCGAAATCGCCACGGCACGCCAGCCCAGAAAGATCGAGGACAAAAGCAGCAGAATGCTAATTCCGAGGTCCGTCGCGAGTTTCTTCATCTCTTATCTGCTCATCGCCCCCGTTACATCCGCTGCTATTTCTCTAATCGCCTCGCCGGGCCGAGAGGGCCTCCGTTTGATTTTATACGCCCTCCTACGTTTCCTTCTCCTCTCTTTGATCCCTTTCCTTCTATCTTCTCGTCCTTCTCCTACTTGGTTCCGCGACAACTTTCCTCTATTTCTATCCCTCCTTTATTTTTCGATCCACTCGCTACAGTTCTCCCTCTGTTTAATCTTATCCCACATCTATTTGATCGCTCCCCCCCCCCTCTCTCTCTCTCTCCTCTCTCTCTCTCTCTCTCTCTCTCTCTCGAAAGAAAGAGGGGATCGCCTCCCAACGTTGTTCGCTAAACTTTTCCTACCAACTTCCACCGCTGCCACCTTTTTCATCCGCTACACGCGGTGCTGCGAGTTTCCTCTTCCTCCAGTCTTCCTGCCCCATCAAAGTGCAGAAAACTACCTGGCATCTCCTCTCGTGCGTGTCTCGGCGATCCTCCTTCCGTCCGCCGTACCGATCTCTTTTTCCTCCCTTTATCGACAGTCACCCTCTTCGCTTCGCACACCTCCGCAGTTTCTTCGTAACTTATTATCCCTTTGCACGCTCGTTGATTGACACCTACCGATCGGGATCGGGAGCAAACCGTCGCGCGCGGCGGATCTTCTGCCGACGTCTCACCGTCTAGGCCGTCTCACACAAGCCTATTCTCCTCAACCGAGCAGACCTCGCCCTTCCGTCCGCCGCACGTGACTGGATGTTTTCCTGAGACAATCACTGGAGCAGGTCGAGAGTAGCGCGGCCTTTTCGCTGCGTTGCTCGCACCAGGATGCGCGCGCGCGTAAAGCTTCTTCCTGGTGTGCACCACTTTGGTAAACTTGGCACGATCGCTGAAGAATGTAAAGATACCTCGCTACCAGCTTTCTTCGCTCGGCGTGTGATAGCTTTCACGGCTGTCTGGAAGTGCAGAACTCAGCGATAAGCTTCTCGCCGAGCTATCGGCCTTGCTCGCGCAATCAACAGTCCCCCCGACAACGTTCTCTATAATTAAAAACACGTCAAGTGGTAAAACGACGATCCTTCGGCGAGCCTGTGCGCCTCTTTTCTTCACGCCTCCCGTAGACGTGCGGAGAAAAGCAAGAAGAGGAACATATTTTTGTGCTTCTCCGTGTCTCTCTCCTTACGTGAGATCGAAGCCTGGAGAAGCAATTATTTTCCTTTCCTCTTGTCGATTGTCCAACCCGATTGTCCAACTTGTTTACCACTAAAGAAGACTACACACACCGATCGCAGGCGAGCAGAATAATCCTGTTCCTGGCGGGGATCTATTTTCGCCTCGTAGAGAGGCGGGTTTCCGCGATCGAGTTTTGGAAAACCGTACCGTACTGAAGCTTCCTCGTCGTTTCTTTTCCCGTCGCTCGATTCTTCTTCTTCTTCTTCTTCTTCTTCTTCTTCTTCGTCTCGTACTCGGCGGATTTCGTTCCTTCCCTCGATTTGTCCGGCGAGTGAAACGACCAGCCGAACCCACGGCGACGGTAAACAACGACTAAAGGGAAATCGATGCGAATCGGCCGAGTGCGAGCGCGCGAGTACGCGCGGAGTAGAATCAGTAAGAGGGAGGTCCTTTCGTGGGCGCAAGTTGAGACGGCCCATTTCAGCTACCGGGCGCGCCGTGTAATTTTACCACGGTTCCAACGAGAACGGACGACGCGAGAATCGAGACCGTGTGGAAGGTCGTTCGCGGCTTATGGGAAAAACGAGAGCGATACGCCGGAAACGCCGGCGAGTCGGTCATCCTGCTCGAGTTATGCGTGGATAAAACCGGTTCGTCGTCGGCGCGCGCACGCAAATGCGCTCGCCGCAGAGTCAGTGTTTCGCACGATTGGAGCTGAAGAAAAATATTGCGAACAAAGTGGCTCTTAATCGAGAAAAATTGGTAAAAAGAGAAGAGAGAAAGAAATTGTATACACAAATTTGTTGATAAAAAAAATATTGGACAGAGTGGATCAACTGAGTCAACTGAGAGAAAAATAAAATTGCAGAAAATGTCGAGTGTCACGTCGGAGCGTTTCGGAGGCTTAGCGTTTGTAATTCGCGCGACAAAATCTGATCTCGACACCTCGCTCGCTGCAGGCCGCGAGTAGTTCTCCCCGACTCAATTTAACGGCACACACGGAGAACATTCTTAGATTTATCCGCAGCTGTAAACGTAATTTCTCCTCGAGTGTTCCCCTCGGCCAGGTAGAATTCCATCGCGAATTACAGATTGTCTCGAGCACGGTCCGGCGTCGCTCTCTGTGAAATTCCTCAAGAATACGCGTCAACCAACTATTACGAAATGACGCACGGCTACTGTTGCCACGTCAACCAAGGCGGTAATACTACCGTAATGTGAGAAATAACTCCATCGGACTAATAGCCGTGCGATCAGTACGGTGCTTCGCTACGCGGCGCATTCTGCACGAGTCTGCCGTGTGATCGATATACGGGGAGAGCTAATCTTTCCCCGTGGAAAGTTGCCGCGCGCGCGCGCGCGCGCGCGCGAGACACACGCGGGAACGCGCAAAACAAGTGGGATGATACGGCGAATAACTCAGGCATTCCGTGCGGCGGGCACGAGCGGAATTAGAGGCGCACTTCATTGCGCGCACAGTCATCACGGAGTGCACTTTCTCGGAGGGACGCGTCAGTAGTATATCTTAACGAGAAAGATCTTATCTCGCGCCGCGCGGTGCAAAGAGTGCGAATAACTTCCCCGCGAGATTGATATACTTTCTGAATTTATTGTTATTCGATATGGCAGAAGAATGCGCGCCATGACTGTCAGTGCCACCGCGCGCGCGCGGAGGAGCACTGACCGAATATGCCGCTGATTAGCCGAAAGAAAGTCCATATACCTGCTGCGGAGAGAATATACGTCGGTACACGTAATAACGCGCATAAGCGTGCGCCAAACTGAGCGTAACAATAACGATATCGGACGGTCCGCGCTGGAAAGTTAACATTAACGACAGCGTGCCTTGAAACCTGTTGCGAAAGCGCCGGGGCCTGGGGACACTCGTATATCTATCGTCGCCGACGACCGCGCCGCGGTTCTTCGGTCGGTAATGGGCCCGCGAATAATCTCGCCGATTATTACACATCGTCGATCCGCCGCCGTCGCCCGATTAACCCTTTCACTGTTAGCGGGAAGGATACTTGCCAACTTTTCTCGATTTTCAATTTTGCCTCGTGTGTCACATAATTTTGAAGAACTAATCGGGGAGTTTACCAGATTACCGAATAGTTGTTCAACGTGCCCCGATAGATTTTTACACCCAATTATTCATTTGTGATTATTCATAACGAATCAGAGTCGAAAAGAAATGCTTTCTTTAGGGAAAAAATCGATTCCTCGGAGAGTATTGAATGTAGAGGTCCGAAGTCTTCACCAAATCTTTCTCTCATGTTGTGCAAAAACATATATTTTTTTCAGTATTTTTTTGCGGGTTAGATTTCCTTTTTATAAACAAATGTTTCCACAGAAACGGCCGAAATGTGATTTCTCCGCGCTTTTTAGCCCTATTTTCCTAGTTTCTTCATCCTGTTCATCTCCATCTTATCCATGCTGTCAATATTATTTTACTCAGAAATGAATGTTTAATCTCTAGTAAGCATAAATATGCAGTAATGCCACATTTTTCCACGTAAATTTTTTCCAGCTCGACCGAGTTCCATCGTCTAGAATCATATGTTCTTATTACGACCTGGTCATTATTCAGGAATAATTGGAATTCTCATTAATTTTGTACATCACGATCGCCATATTGAGTCCGCCATTTTGAATCTTGCAAATCTCACTTTAGATTCGTAATCAGCGATTCAAGAAACGTAGGACTGCCAAATATTTTAATAATATCGCGTGCGAGCCACAAGGAGTGTGGAAGCGTCCGTTGTCCGCGAGAGCCTTAGGCATATGGATTTTGACGGATCTTGATGGATGGTTGAAGGATGTTTGTCTGGACGACGGGAGTTTGTTGATAAACAGCAGCGGAGTCTGTCACGAGCCGTCGTCGCGAGCAGACGTGACCTAGACGTTTCTTTTCAATATTGTTCAGACGAGAGGACATATTCGTGAGTCTGTACATGTTGGAAGTAAAGCGTACTTCTTCTTTTCCTCTAATCCTGCGTCGGTTCATTTCGCGGACCCGCGCGAGACGGACACGCGCAACATTTTGGGGGCTCGTCCCGGGATCGAGTCACAGATCATTCGGGATAAAAATCGCGGGATGTCCCGGGATAGAAACGCGAGACGTTCGGGATCGTATCGCGACGCGCATCGCCAGTGAGAGTGACAGTGAGAGAAAGTGAGGATACAGAATGACAACCGAAGCAAGAGCGAACACGCGGTTCCTAGCCTAGACGGAAGCGTGTTCGCTCAAATAAGCCGGAAGCGACGGGGACGGAGGCGGCAAGCTCCGGAACGTCGGAGGTGTCGGTGTTGCGAGATGCGCTCCAAGAGATCCGAGCGGCTGCATTTGCTGGAGGAGCTGGAGACGCAACGGCAGAATATTACAGGTCAGTCGCTTCCGATTTCCTTAATAACCGGGCAAATCAAATCGCCGATCTTTTTGACGGAAGAAATTTTTAATGGTAAAATTATTTAGAACAAAAGCGTCTTGCTCTTCATTTTCTTTTCTTTAAGGTTTAATTTTGGAGGGTGCTTTCGGAGGACCACATCCGGGAGAAAGAAAAGAGAGAAGGCTGCCTCCCTCACGGTTTTTGACCGTGCTTTTTCCGCGGGGCATTGGGCGAATGCCGAGGCAGGGACTCGAGGTGTTCTATAAGAGAACATTGGATCCGCGGTAGTCCCCCCTCCCCCCTTGTCCGAAGAGGAGCTAAGGAGAAGACGGACGAGGAGGAGGAGGAGGAGGAGGCGAAAGAGAAGCGGATCGTTCTTAGAAAGGCCTTGGAGATGGTTTACTTTCTGGAGGACGAAGATAAGAATGGTGCTCTGAGAACCAGGAGTCAAATTCCTCGGAACCCTTTGACTGAGAACATGGAGTTTCGGTAACCTGTAGCAGCAACTCAGGGTAGAACAAGAACCATGGAATTCTCTGGAGTCAAAGAAGAGGATGACCTTGCTCGGGAGAATTGTCGGGACGACAATTTGTAGAGAGAGGGAGCAGTGTTGTGTACGAGCCACAAGGGGTGTGGAAGCGTCCGTTGTCCGCGAGCCTTAGGCATATGGATTTTGACGGTTGAAGGATGTTTGTCTGGACGACGGGAGTTTGGTTGAAAAACAACAGCAGCGGAGTCGGTCACGAGCCGTCGCCGCGTGCAGACGCGACCTAGACGTTTCTTTTTAATATTGTTAAGACGAGAGGCTGTTCGTGAGTCTGTATATATATATATATATATATATAGGAAGTAAAGCGGAATTTTTCTTTTCCTCTAGTCCTGCGTCGGTTCATTTCGCGGACCCGGTACGCGCTAGACTGACACGCGCAACAATAATTTTCTCAAGTTAATTCAGCAGTGAAAGGGTTAAACGCTCGCGGCCGGCCGCACGGAGGATCATTTGTCACTTTTTACGGCGACCAAGCGACCGCTTGAGAGAGAAAGAGAGAGAGAGAGAGAGAGAGAGAGAGAGAGAGAGAGGAGTCCCCTCGGATCGCGCGGAGTACGATCGATGTAACCTAAATCGCCTGCCTGTCTTTTGCTTGCAGACGGCCAAGAACTCAACGTCGGGCAGCGGATATTACGTGGGCGGAAGCAGCACCTTGCCGCGCGGCGGACCGCTGCTGAGGGCGTACAGCCCGGCGGCGTCGAGCGTCGTCGGTGGGCCGAACGCGACGCCGACGCAGCCCAAGACTCTTACCACACCAGGTATACGAATGCCCGTGCTCCTCCTGCCTCTCATCTTGCCCGTCCCCGAGGACGCGGCGCGCGTGGTCGTCGCGTGCGCGACTGCGAGTCGACACGCGATCTCAGCGCCGAACGCGAGCGGTCCAAAACAAACCACCGCCCGTTCTGCGGAGCAGTCCTCGCGACTGAAAATTCCTCTCGATCCACCGACTCGCCGAGTCGCGGGCATTACGTATCGAGATGCCGAATTTATCGGCCGGCGAAGGAGAGAGCGGTCGTCTCGTTCGTACAGTTAAAGCGAGCAACGCGAGAACGCGTGTGAGAAATTTTCCTCTCTTTACTTTTCGAGCCAACACTTTCCTCCCTACTGCTTTCTTTTTCTTCTGCGTTTTCGTTTTTCAGCGAAAACGCGTTCTTCGACGACATGATCAATCGCTATCATTTGGCAAGGAGACGAGAGGAATTTCCGGACACTGCCCGGAAATTAAGTAGTGGATTACGGAGCCACACCTGGTCCTCCTGACTTTCTCTCACGGCGATTTTCGTCGACGAGCTTCGTCGTCCTTGATGATTATCATTATCGGGAGCGAGTTCGGTCATATCGCGAGTGAAATATAGCGCGGTCGCGGTCGCGGGGGGAGGGAGGGAGGGAGGGAGCGCGTATATATCGCGCAATTTATGACACAATTTGTGCGAAATTGATAAAGAGGAGCCGACAAAGAGGCTCGGCACGTGGAGCAATTTCTCCTCGCGACATCCGGGATGCATCAGGCATCCGGAATACCCTCGGAGGGATCGCCGGAACAATGTCTTTGGACCGCTCGCGACGCTCGCGACTGCGAATATCAATGACTGAATCTACCGCTTCGCGCCTGTGCATTCCCCTCATACCTGCATCGATGTTCCACACGTAGAGTAGCATCAGCGGAGGAGAGTACCCTTCATCCGGGAGATTCACGCAAATACACACAACATTCATGCACGTCCCGCGCGCGCAACTCCGCCCCCCGCATCCGACCCACCTCACAAGATGCCTTACCGCTAAGGTGACCAGAAACGTGAAATTCCCCCTCGAAAACATTACGATATATCTCCGGAATCCCCGGAACGCCCTTTGATCCCCGCGCGAGCGCCGCGTTAGAAAGATCAAGTGTGCGCGCGGCGCAGCGCATCATCCCCTCGTCCTGTCTCTCTCGCCTTTGATATCAGGGAACAGGTATGCCAAGTTCCCGCTGATTCCGACGAATTCGCTCGCGAATTCCTCGATATCTCGAGCGGTTGGGCCGCTTCGCAAAAGGACCCGCCGAGCGGCGTCGCCGTCCGATCAGTGGTGAGAGATCAGTCGGATCGGCTCGGTCGCGAGAACGAGTTGGATGATCGAATTGGCCGCTTTTCCCGGCGGACCAAGAACCTCCGCAAAAAGTGCCCCGCAAAAAGTTTCTCAGTCCCCGACTTTGAAATTAAATTTTGGACGAAATGATAGCTCATGATGAGACATTGATCGCAAAAAAGTTTCACATCGAGCATACGATTGGTTGCAGAGATATCAAAGTGGTCGTTACCTACCACTACTAAGGAAGTTTGAGCCTAATAATAACGTTTCATCGCACGAATTTTTGCGAAATTCAGTATCTACGGGTTCTTTGAGTTGCTTATTACGAATTCGACGTCAGGTTAAAAAAATTCAAGATGGCGGATGGTAATATGGGCGAAAGGTGACTCAATAAGAACCAGACTACGGAATCCTTAGGATCCTCCAGGATCCTGATATCCACGCTGCGTTACATGGACTTACTAGGACCCGATAGTATTGGGACCTGATGTCCAGATGAGGTTAACCTGATCAGGACCATGGGATAAATTTCTAGTCGTGTAATGACCACTTTGACCCTCTACATCTTTGAAATCAATGCTCAACGTGAAACTTTTCTGTAACTAACGTCTCATCGTGAACTATCTTTTGGCATGAAATTCGATTCCAAACTCGAGGACCGAAAAACGGGCAAAAAATCGAGCCTTAGGCGTCGCTCGCGCGTGCGCAGAAATTTCGCATTCGGCAGCTCGTGAGAGATTCTGGTCGCCTTAACCTTAGCCGCAAGCCTCGAACGCCACGAACGCTTGAACCATCCATCCATCCATCCATCCATCGAGCCGGCGAGAGTCCGAGCGCTGCGACGTACAAAGAAATCCCGCGAAGCCATCTCCCTCTTTTGTCTCATCCGGGCGTTCCCGAAAATTGGTCGAATCGAGTCGGCTAGGCAGCAGCGAGAACTTGGCAGCGAGAAGCCGTGAGAGGGACAAATCGCCGCAAATTGACGCAGCGACGCGGCCGCGGTAAATCCGTCGGCGTCGCCGCGATTACACGCGTCTTTTCCCCGAGATCATCCCCCAACCCCCCCACCTCCGCCTCCGACTCGACCAATTTTTCTCGACGCACGTACATCCTCGTGCTTTGAGCTTGAGCTGCGCATATATACACCCGCGCGCACACACACACACACACACGCACAGACACGCAATCGCTCTCTCCATTCTTCATGTTTCCGATCAACAATGTTGCAAGGTCGTTCCGACTCCCGATCGTTCACGCAGATCGTTACGACCGAGTCGTAGTTACGGCCGAGCGCCATTCGAGCCACTACTCAAAAACGCTCAGCAAGCTAGCCGCCGAAGAGGGAAAGGATGGCCTCGTTCACGACGCCGCGCCGTTGCGAGCGAGTTCTCCGCGCGCGTTGTCGCGCGAGAGAAACGCTCTCAGCGCGGCCACCTAACTGAGCCGCCAAAAGGAAGAGACGCCGTCGTGACGCGCGAACGGTCGATCATGCGCGGCCTGTCCTGATTCGAATCGCTATGACCAAGTGGATCGGAACATAAAGCACGGACGACGTACTGTAAGCTGTCGCAGGGAACGCGAGCAGCGCTTATTGGCTTGTTGGTCGCTGAACAAGCGCATTTCTCCCGACGCTTCAGCTACTGCGACGCGAGCGAGAAGTGCACGTATGTAAAAGTCGACAAGCTGTCGAGCGTGTAAATTTCAACGGCAATCGCGTGACGAACAACGCCGACGCGGAAAATCCGAAAACGCGTCCTTTTCACGTCCCGCCTCTGCGATCCCGCGCGGAAGGGGATTATCGCGCGCTGCGTGGCTTTGGGTCGTACGTTGCCGTCCGCGACGGTAACATGGTATCTCGCGGACACTCGCGGGCGAAATTCACGAGCTGAATCCTTACGAGGAGATCCCCGCGAGAAAAAGATCCGCGTGGAGGGAAAGGAGAGAGGAGGAATGGAAGATCGCCGCGCAACAACCGCGCGCGCGAACGGGACTCCGTGTCTTGTTCACTTCTGCATGTGCACTGAACGTCGAAACCGCTTAGCGAGATGGCGACTTGACAACGCGAGACGCGCATCGGAGCACCTGGGTACATTGGTTTTTTGTTTGGTTTTTTGGATGGTTGGATAGGTGGTGGCGGGGTGCCGCCGGCCAAGCCGCTTCGCAGCTACCAGTGTGGTAAGAGTCCCCTTGGAAGCCTCGGGGGCTCGGCGCGCTTCTCTAGAGACAGCTCGGTCTCCCTCTATAGTATACCAGGTCAGTAGTATCCTTAAACATTCGTCAGACACTCCAGAGCTCGATCGCCGCCGCCGCCGCCGCCGCCGCGACGATCGATGTGTACGGCCGCGACACGCTCGCTCGCGCATCTGGACTACTCTGCTCTGATAACGCGCGCTGCTGATAACTGATAAGAAGGGAGAACGCAGCGCGGGCACCACTCGCGCGTTCGTCGAAACCGCACTCGAGAAATAAAGCGTCGTCCCGAAATAGAGCGAAAGTCCCTGTAAGAAAGTAATGGAAAGTAGTGGTGAATTTCCGCGGACGATTCTCTCCCACGCGCGGATAGAATAATTTCCACGCGGGCTAATTGACGGGTGATAATCAGCTGTCGCGATCGCGAACGGGCTAACGACTAACGACTCGCGCGCTTGCTGCAAGTAACCAACTTGTTAGCCGGGTTAGCGGTTAATTAACGCGAGTTGATGCATGTCTCGCGAGACGACGGCTGAGATAAAAGAGAGCGACACTCGCGCGCCCTCGCGGACCAAATTCCTCCGTCTGGCGGTGCGATCCGGCGAAACAGACAATTCGCGGAGGAGACGTCGAGCATGGGAATGTTACAGACAAACGATGACGGTCGAGCGGCGGCGCGCACACGCGCGAATGCGGCCGCGCGCTGTCCCGCGCGCACACACCGTGGCAAGTTTTACACGATTTTCAGTTAAGGACTTTTATCGTAATGCAATTTGCCCCGAAAACGATACGCCGTAGACTGTGTGTACGGCTTGTGAATTTTGTTCACAGCATAACAGCAAGCGCGCGACGCACCAGTTGCGTGCGCGCAGCGAAACGAAATTCCGACCATCCGACGCGAGATGCAATTGCTCGTCTCTCTGCTGAATTTCCTTTTTTTTCCGAACAATATGAGACAATGGCTGTTCACCGATGCTTTCGTCGCGGGAACTCGGGCAGGAGAATTGGTTGACGAGTCTTTGTCGACACACGGTACAGATTAATCGGCCGTTCTGACGGATTAATCGACCTTTCTTCGAACGACCGAAACGAACGCTCCTTTTGTGGAAGGGCCCAAGCATTATTACAACACGTCGAACGCGGCATGTAATGACACGTAGAGAGCCGCGGGTAAAATCGAGAGACGCCAAATTCCCCCCTTGTGTGTCTTATGTGTGATGTAACGATGGCGACATTGCGTCTATCGCTAATGAGGAGAAGCCAAGGTGGCCGATTGTTTGGAGCGTGGTAAATCCCTGAAATTGGCAGTTACGATTAGTCCGGTCGAGTCGAGCCAAGTTTTAATTGAACGACCTCGAGACCGTGGAGATAGTGTTGGGAATAAATGGGAATGGACGGATGGAATTGAAACGTTTCGAATTCGCGCCGGGGCGAACTTGAAATGACGTTGGCGTGTTGCGCGCGAGAGGGTATTGTTACGAAAATTCATCCGGGGGGCAAAAATCCCGGTGTAATCAACTTCTCGTTGCGTTTCATTCCTTCTTCAACTTTTGTTCCATGTGTCCAACCAACTATCGCGCGGAAACGCGCATTTGTTACGTGCCGTGTATTGTTTTACACACACACACACACACACACACATATATATATATATATATATATGCGTTATTACAAAAATCATTTGTTTCGATGTTTATCCCCTCCGATATGTGTCGCTTGCGATAATAGAATTTTCAATTATTAATTCGATATTTTTTTACTGTTTCCATTCGCTCGTGAAATATTCAAAACAGTACTACTGTGGTCCGCTTCACCTTCTCACTCGTTACATTGTATATTTATCCCGATGTTGATAACTTCTCCGTCTTAAATTTCTCGCATCTCTATTCGTATCGATACACCCTCTGACAATTTTTGTCCTCGACGTTTCGAGTGCGATCTCTCGATCCCGAAGAGAATGATTCGATGATATGCCAGCCTGAAATTGAATCTCGCCCTCACGTTATTAATTACGATCCGTACGTAGATATCGAAAGACCGCAAAGTCACTACAACTGCTGTGCGACAGCAGCTCGATATATTCCCAACACTAGAGCTGTAAGACTCCCCCCCCTCCCTCCCTCCCTCCCTCCCCCACTGAGAACCTCCAGAGACTTTTTGCGTGTGTCGTTTCCTTCGTACGACGCTATGCGATATCATAATGTATAGGAAGAGCAACATCTTTCACCTCATTTTTCATCCGCTCTCCCGCTGTCACTCGAGAGCCGTAGATTGTGTGGGCCTCCCGTAAGAAGCACGATCGTGAAAAATCTCTTCTCTCACTCCCCTCTCTCCCCCCCCCTCCCCATTACGATGACTGATAAATGACATTCGTTCACATTCGTTATCGGGACATCCTCTGCGACACGGTCTCTCCATCATAATTTCATTTGCACGTTCGCGCACCACAAGACCCATCGAGGCATCGAGCGTCACGCATAGATAACAAAACATGGATCAAGAGAATCATATTCACGAGAGAACAAGAAAAGCGCGCGAACAAATATCTGTGCAATCGATTCTTCCTTGTCAGGTTGTCAGGAAAATAATCGCCGATGTCAGTCTGTTTCTTTGCCATCAAACCCTTGTTGTCTCTTATTACGATATAAATGTAAACCACATATATTATAATGTATAAATCTAAATATTCGTTCCTTACTTCTCATACTTACCGATTTCAGTGTGTTGTTGTACGTATATATTATTTCTAGTAGCTAGACACAACACTTTGTGTTGTCGATGTTTGCGAATGCCGAGCAGAGCGATCGGTCATTGTTTTCCGACTGACCTAATAAAAAAAAAGGAGAAAAAAGATATTTAACGTGTATACAAGACAAGGAAGAGAAGGTCCCATGGGAATTTGATTAGCCTCTACTAATACGCATTATACTGATCTAAATATCCACAGATCGGCTACACGGCGAAAGCGGATACATGAGCAGCCCCGAGCGCGGCGGCGGGGTCGGTTCCGGAAGCGGAAGATACCCACCCGGGCCTTACAGCGCCGGCAGCAGCTACGAAGACCCGTATTACTCGCAATATTCGGGAACTGTCACTCCCGTAATCGACGAAGAAGCCAGGTAACCGGAGTTCCACGCACTTTCGCGGAATAACGACTCGCCATCGCACGCAACCCCACTAAAAAGAGTGAGAGAGAGAGAGAGAGAGAGAGAGAGAGAGAGAGAGAGAGAGGGAGAGGATGGTGATGTCGTTGTAACAAATTCCCGTATTTCGGACCGCGCGGAATGTCCCAGATGTCACGCGTTGATTTCTTCCCATTCGCAGAGCATACTGGATCGACTTGAAGTTTATCCGCGCGAGGCTCGTAAATAATTTATTATGATTTAAGATTTGAAATACGCGAGACGACAAGACGTAAAAAGAAACTTTATCATTCGCCTGTAGAAAAAAATGAAAAGTTGCTCGTGGTACCACCACGAGTATCCTCATATTTTCGCCAAGAGTAATTGTGCGCGAATACCCTAGGAGGCCTGGATAAAAAAATGCGGGGACTCTGGGATAGTCTGCGTATGCGTGTGAATTCCATTAGGGGAAACAGCTATACGTATAATTTATCCGATTGCAACGAGGAATTGGCTGTCTCATCCCGTGAAAATCCATTTCACTCACATTTTCAGACATGTATTTCCAAACGTGGACGTTTCCGAGCGCTCACCGGAGAAGCGTGCCACCGTGGTATAGAGAATATATTTTTGATTTTATATCAATATATCGGAATTAGCGCGGAGCCTGCATTAAACGGCGGATTACAGTGTTGTCAACAAACACACACACATACAGCCGTCGACATTGCTCCGTTGCAGCGAATTATATTCCCGATTAAATCAACCAGCGCGTGTCAATTAGCCGCGTATTTACTCGACGCTCTTGACCAAACAATTTTAATAACACATCTCGAGGTATAACAATGGATTCTGTTAACGTGTAATTTTCGCATAACGCGAGAGAACATCCGTTACATCCGCTCTCGTGGGCACACAAGGGCGGATGTAAGGGCGAAAAAATTCCCCCTTAACTCGCGCGACAACTTGTTTCAATAATTAAATATTTATTTACCAGCTTGCGTTTCTTCAATTGCTCCTCACCCCCCCCCCCCTCACCCCCGCTGTTGTGTTCACCACCTCTTTCACGCTCCTCGTTCACGCTCTCTGCACCTCGAACGATGTTCGCGTAAATTCGGCGAATCGCGCCGAAGAGGCGTCAGAAACATATGAAACATTATCGCTTCGTGAAAAGAGCAACTGCGACAGAGATTTTCAGAGACTTTGGGACAAACCCCGTGGTCTCTCCCAAAGAGATAGGAATCACCAGCGTGACGTAAAAACCGTTCTACTTTCAGTCTCATAAATCCAAGCGGTCGTGGTTTTCCATCACTCTTACTCGAGTCGACTCGAGATCGTTTCAGCGCGTAGATCGCTCGGAATCTCGGCTAATCACCGATTATGAACACGGAGCGGAGTGTGTGCGAAGGGTCAAAGCCCACGCCGATTACCTTTCCAGCACTCCCTCCCTTACCATCCCTTACCCTCATATTATGTCTCGTCTGTCGCAAGACGTCGTAAATTCAGCGGCGCTTTTCCTCGCGCACCTCGTACAATCCGACTGAATAAACTCTGTTCGACCGGAAGCTAGCTCCCAACCCTCCCAGCACCCTCTCTCCCGCCAGTGGTCGCGAGCAACCCCTGTACGAGCAAAACGACATCGTTGTCGTCGTCTCCGTCACCACCACCACCACCGTATCCCCCCCTCCCCCGTCGTCCTACCTTCCGTGCGACCGACCCTCGTCTGGTCTCCGCACAACCGCCGCCAGTTAGATGTCTGATAGCGTGGATGTGTATGTCTGTTGTGGGTGGTGCAGCGATACGGAGCTGTTGGAGGAATCGTACAGCCTTTACGGCGTGAAACCACCGGGGCGTCCGCCGTCTGGTCCCCCGCGGTCCCCGTTTCCTCCGGGTGCACCACCCCCTCTGCCACCCGGCGGACAGAGCTACGACGCTACTCGGTACTGCACCCACGCACACACACTCTGTCGCCTGCGTGTTTGTCTTGCGTAGAGGCCTGCCTGCCTGCCTGCGGAATAAAAGGAAATGTGAAAGAGAAAAGAAAAGAGAGAGCAAGAGAGAGAGAGAGAGCAAGATAGAGGGATATATTTATAGAGAAAGGGGGAGAGAATGGAAACCGCTGGCGAAAACCGTGCCACGACCGGCTGGCTGGCTGGCTGGCTGGCTGGCTGACTGACTGACTGACTAGATGGCTGGCTCTGGCTGGATGCTTGCGAATGAGTACGAGTTGCACGAGTGTCGTTTCGAAGCGAGCCCCCGGAACGCGTAACAGCGGCGAATCCGGGATTTCGCGTTGGCAAAAGTCTCCCCCGAGGTCCCTCCCCCGAGCCCGAGCGAAAAATGCCTCGGTGGTTTTCGCTTGTAATCAAGGGTGGGGATCCGCTCGCGCTCGCGTTTCCGCTCATTACGATTTCATTTCAATGTCGGTCGATCCTGACAAACAACGAGCCGCGTCTCGGCGGCTAGAGCTTCCTTAAATAATGAACAGAGAAAGTCGCGCCACCCAGCTTAGAAAATAAGACATTTCAGGTAATTCCACTTTGCCACTTTGTTGGGCTGGATTCGCCGCTGAAGCGGGGATAGGTACGTTTGCACGTGATTGTTGACGTTGACGAATAGTGAGCCGCGGCAGCCGCGAAACGACGAGAAAACGCGCGCGCACGCTCGAGACGCGAATTTCCTTCACGCTGGAAACGATCATAAGCCGAGCGTCTGTCTATTCATTCTCGGCGGGTGATCGTGAGATCTAAAGCGAAATTTCGCTGCGCAATTAATAGCGAGATGTGTAAGGAAATGGAGCTTCGTACACGGAAGATTCTCTTTTCTCTTCTCTTAAGGACGAATGAATTTGAATTATATAGCATTTCATTTCATGCACAGAGCTTCATGTTTTGTGATAGACGCTGAAAATTAATAAATATTGAGAAACGTATTCCTTCGCCGCGACAGGAATTACTTGCAAGTACGAAACGATCGTCGATCACGTCTTCCGTCGTTTCCATGGTAACGTTAATATACGATTAATAGCCTATTCGTTTGTGCCGGACGACGGCAGAATCTCGTGCAAAAGTCATATATCGCACTGATCGGATGGAGGATCGGAATATTTCTGTGCTATAAAATTACGGTTTGGAGCTTGGATGTTGAAATGCAATATTGACCGGTATCCACCGCTGCTCAATTACAGGAAGTGGATAGTAGTCATCCAGATCAATCGCTAATTTTTATTTCCCATTCGTACAATGTAAGCGATACGAATTTCCAGCGTATTTGCCCGGCGAACAGCATTCGCAAAATTTACACGGACGTTTCACGCGGTCTCTATCGCGGCTCTTGTTGCGCGATCAAACTGTTTCAATACGCAACTTGTGGAATTCTCGCGCGGATAGCTATCTATCCAGATCCAGAAATTTGTCCCTTCAGGACTAAGCCGATTATGCCGAACAAACGCAACGTTCACGCTCGCGAAGTATCAAATTTCGCCGATCAGACTGGAACAGTGGAATCGATTTCTGTTTGCGAAGCTTCCATCATCCATCAGGAGCTCGATGAGATTTGAAGGGGCAGGAATTTGCTGACAAAAATTTCTCGTGTCAAAAGAGATAGGCATTTGTATTATCCGCACGCTGCTCTACCTCCTTCCCTACACGAAGCAAGGCAACGCTATTAAACGTAACGAGTCGCCCGCAAATGCATGTTGTAGCGTAATATGTCCGGGCATCTCGATCGAGTTATCGCGAGAGAGATGCCACTGGCAATCTCGTCGGGTCATACTCGGGTTCGCACGAGGCAAAGTGGGATCGATCGGTGGCACGATTTCAGCGAATCTGTATGCGAAAGGCAAAGAAAAGAGAGAAAATCCAAAATTGTCCGGAATCGAAGAATCTAAAACTAGGAAAGAAAAGAAAAAAAGACGAAGAGCTATTTCCGATTTTTCGTTTTTCCGGATCGATCTTCACCCTTTCCCTCTCTTTCCACCGCACCGCGCCCGATCCCTCCGCACTGTACATATCTATATCGTATCTATTTTAACGCGACGCCTACGTATTTTCTGGGACGTTTTGTACATTATATTCGCGAATACCAAGTACACTCTGTATCGCTCGAAAAACAAGATGCGTGTGTGTGTGTGTATGTGTGTGTGTGTATATATATATACTGTATGTGTAAATATCTTCAATATGACTCGAATAATATGTATGATAAATGGAAGTGTAACTTGCACCCTCGGTGGAATGCAGCATGCCGACTAGCGATCGTAGACGAGAATGCATTGATTATATACAGGGTGTGTCGAGCGTATCGCAGTGAAAAACAGATCGACACAGAGGCGAATTGCTAAATTGAATCGATATACACGCCTCGGAGTGAATTCGATGAACGACGCGACGCGCAACGACGGACGATCCCGTGAAATTCTCGACGATATTTATTCTGCGACGACCGCTCGCGGATGGTATAGTTGCATCGAGTGATCGCTATTGCAGAGCGCTAAATCGTCGGCTTCATGTCTCTGCGGAATCCTCTCAATTTTGTATAGTGCATTTTTGTGTCGCCGTACTTTGCCTCGTAATTACTCTCTCTCTCTCTCTCTCTCTCTCTCTCTCTCCCTCTCTCTCTCTCCCTCTCGCGTTTTCGAGATTTTCATCTGCAATACGTCTTTGTTAATGCCGAAAGTGTTTGGGAGCTGTCGCCGGGCATTCGCCAGCGCTCGCGAGAAAACTTTTTAGACGGAATTGATACCGTATGATGGAACGAGGTGTATTAGAGAGAGAGAGAGAGAGAGAGAGAGGGAGAGAACCGTAGATATCCGAATACACACAGGATCGCCGAGTCGAAAACTTACTTTATCCCGCGCGACTTGACGCGCAAAAGTTATTACATCCGAGCCGAAATTGATCGAGAGCCGCGCGCGAACATCTTGCGAGCGCGATCTGATATACGCGCCCCGCGTACGTCACACATGTATCACCCTGTATATGATTTTATGTACGTACTGTCACCGTGACGTAGATTGGGCACTGCCGTCACTTGTCATGCGAAGCGATAGATGCACGTGATTAGCATCGTGTTATGTTATGTGACTCGTATCCATTTTCACCGGATGGGAAACACGCTCGAGGACAAAGTTTTTAGGTGTCGGGTGCACCCTCGAGCGTCGACGAGAGTCGTTTCACGTGAAACTCCCGGTGAAAATGGATCTGTACAGAGTCTGTGGTCTCTATTTTTATTGTTAGTATGTCGTGACATACACACACACACACACACACACACACACAATGTCTCGCTCGTCTAGGTCAAATGGTGCCATTAATCGTGCCATTGGATTAACAGTAACAAGTAGACGCTGAGTTAAATATATTATTGATTAAATGTGCGCAGAGAGACGAGTTCGAAAGAAACACACGCGATGTACACGTATGAGATGTGTATCGTTCATTTAATATCGTTAATCGCTCGCTCGATATACCATTGTATTCTCTCTTTTACGCGAAACTAATCGCACAATTCCATTGCGATCGTCATTTTATATCGTCGTTACATGATATTCAGCTGACCACAATCATATTCATCATCAGTATTATAATGTCGTTAGTAAGAGAGTTTCGCACAAAATCTCATTTGATTTCGGAAGCATTGGTAATCGAATCGTTCTACAAATAATATTTATCCGTCAGTTTATATATTCGCAATAAATTACGCGCGCGTTACATTATTTGTGCCTGAGACTGAGACGAGGGAACTAAGAGCCAAAACAGCGAGACACGATTCTCAGTATTTTATAATCGCGGATAATCTTTTTTCGTGCGCTTTAACGAGCGCCATTCCGATTCCGGCCGATATCAATTCACGTCCGTCACAGTGAAAACAAGACAGTCTTTCTATTCACGTATTTGACACAGCTTACGTTACTTCACTTCACTTCGACGCACGAAATTATTCGACGGCAATGTGCCGCGATATGTGCAATAGGTATTTACTTAAAGTGACTGTAATCTATCTCGAATGTTATGCTGTCCGTCGAAAGAGAAAATGAGCTCGTAACTGTCTCCACTTTTAGAGCGACGAACGTCGCTAAGTTGCTCGTTACTCCATTCCCTGACCGAGAATTATTTGTCACACAGGATAAGGGTGGAGCACATGGAGAGACAACTGGCCAACCTGACCGGACTCGTGCAGAAAGCTCTGACGCACGCCCCGCACACCAGTCCTTCGCCGCGAGAGTACTTGCAAGTCCCACCAGGACGTGATCCCTACACAAGAGCCGCAGGTACGTTTTCCATAAAACTCCCGCGGCTTCACTCTCTCTCTCTCTCTCTCTCTCTGGGTTTCCTTCTATACTTTCCATTTCACTGTCACAGTAACAGCATTTTCCTTGGTTACTTCGTTTTTTTTCATTCACGATAACACGAGACGATAACCACTCGAATGTAACGGGGATAAATTAAACGTTTCGTTGATTTCTCATAGAAATCATCTGCAATTTGGCGCGATCTTTTTGTAACAATTTGACGACGATAAAGAAACGATAGTGGAAAAATTGATCATTTTTATCTCTGTAGAAATTATATTTCTGTGTTGCGAAAGATCGTCAACACCCAGACATCAGGCAGCCAAAAAACTAATACACAAATTTCTTGAACACTTGAAAAGGAAGAAAAGAAAAGGACTAAAATCTCTTCACCTAATCAGCGGTCGCTCCCTCAATTGCAGATAAGTTCAATGAAAGCCGATTAAATTGTTCTTGCTGTTCTTACAACACAAGTTTCACGCAACTCTGTCGTCGTAGTTTAATATACTGGGACTTTTTGTCCCGAAGACAATCGACACGCGTTTTAGCGATGTCGCTCTTTGTTAATTTCCCTCCAAACATTTCATTGCTTATTTTACAGAAGAATTAGCGCATTTTCACTTAATTCACCAAGATAGTTTCAGCTAGGAAGCATACGAGACTGCTAGACCTCACACTAAGTAGTCTCTACTAATATTCATCTGTCCGTTTCATCCGTGCCTGTTCATCCATCCACTTCATCGTCTTTCGACCACTTTCAGTCATCTCGAAACTACGGTTCTTAGTAATATCATCACGCCGGAAGTGCATCGGGGTCGATAGTCGATAACTAGCAGTTAATAATCGGGCGATCACGTCGACACTTTTATCAGACCGCCGTGTTGAAGTATTTACGATGACATCTTAATAATTCAAGAATTCAAGAAAGGAGAAGTAAGCGCCAGACGAGTCATCTTTCGCAAAAATTATCGAACGATCGCTGTATTGCCGAAATCGTATATATATAGCTATATAGGAAAGACAGAGGAACAAACGACAAAGGTAAAAATAGAGACGGAAAAAAGAATTTGTTCGAGAGAATTTGTTACATCACACAGAAGGAAAATTTAGAGAGCGTACTAATACTAACAAAAAGAAAAATTGGCGGAACCGCGTGGCGCATATTTTGTGTTTCCAGTCTACGAGTCGTGATAAACGCCGTGGTCGCCTCCCGGATAAGCTAAAATTCACCGAAACGACACAACCTTAGATATAAACGTGCATACATATATATATTGCATACATACATGCGGCTATACATGTATATTGGAAGATTTTATGCCGTGAGCTACGCGCCAGCAACAATATGCCATATGTCATATCCAGCGTTTCCAGTGTTTCAAAACCGCACGGAAAGCTACAGAATATTCGGGTGTATCGCTAAACAGCGCCATATTCGGAATGCGCATCGATATCGCGAGCGCGACGGCATTAATTTCTTGATAATTAAACAGTGCAGCAAGCGCGAGTGTTACGCGAAACGTCATAAGCCGGGTAGTCTTTGCATGTTTTAGGCAAATTCGATGACGTCGTTGATGCAAATCTTCCGCAATGGAGAACTATATAGCAGTCTCGGTCATTGCGAGCGCGATCGAATCTGATATCCCATAATTGTACACGCGACTCAACTGTTCCCTGTTCATCGCGAGACATTTTGAGAGATGGAGTCGACTCAACTTTTCTCAACTTTTCGACGCAACTTGCTCAATTCTGCACTCGATGCGCGAACAACTAAAGCCGCTACAATGCAGCCGCGTATTGTCAACAAATTCCGACCGAATAATGTTTGACGGAATCTAAAAACGGATGGCGCACGATCAGGGACGGAATGACATCAGAGCCTCGTAAAATCGATTTTGTTAAATCGCGTCCACCGGCTCTCCACGCGGCTCGCGTATCTGCAAAAGAAAAACTTTCGTGCTGCAAGCTTGCCATATTTGAGGACGTTGAGTTTGATTAGCGTAGTTTTCGACGGGGGTCATATAGTTGCCCGGCGATGTAGCCTCACGGACTGAACTCTCCTGAAACCCTGCTGTACAACTGCTTTGTTATTCCGACTAACGCACACACCAGGCGCCGGGGATGAGTTCGACAAACACTCTAGCTCCAGCTCTGCCTCACTGCCAGGTGTGTCTCTCTCTCTCTCTCTCTCATCTTCTTCTATCTTCTATTCACCTCCGAATCACTGTATTACCGCTACTTATATTTATACATATATATACGTATATATATATATATATATATATATATATATATATATATATATATACACATTTATATATGTATATATGTATATTACGGTCACTTGATCTATTTTTACATCTTTATATACATATCTATACGCATATATACACACACACACATATATATATATATATATATATATATATGTATACTTTTAACGTTGTCTTTATCTTTATCGCCGTTAATAAAGCGCGTATCCTTTAAAATTCAAGTGTCTCAACCTGCCGTTACAGATGACTCGTACTTAAGGACTGACGTTAAACCGCCAAAATTAGGCAAAGGTGCGCTTCAATATATGTTTCTTTCTTACATGCACTTGTCCAAATGCTCTCTCTCTCTCTCTCTCTCTCTTTTTCTCGCTGCATCACCGCCTCTTATCTTCTTATCTCGTTATCACCGCCGCATAATCACGCTCTCACATCACCCCCACCGTTCGCACTCGAGCGAAACGCCTCCTTGGTTTTGCGATAAATCCATTGATAAGTCCGGGTATCGAGATTCGCGAGTAAATTTCGAACTGCCATTAAGTTTGAACGCTCGTGATTACCTTCCGTCCACTTATCGCCTATGATTATGCGTGGTTTCGCCCCTCCGTTGATTTCCTTTTCGTTTTCCGTTCCATTGAAATGCCGCCCTGAAAAGGCCAATTCACTCGGTCGACCGTTTCTCACGACACGCCATATTTCCTGCAATCAGCTTCGATTTTTGTTTGCACGATGCACACGCCAAGGTCTCCGCAATTCCACGATCGTTTAAGCCAGCGCCGGCCTTAGGGGTAATCCAGAGCAACGGTTTACTCCGAGATTAGAGGTTGCAAAATAATGTCCCACGCGATCTCGCTAATCGGAATATCCCGAAACCAATTCAACTTCCGAAGTTAACTCGAATCGCGGCGGAACAGGAAAACTCTTGTCTTACAACTCTGCGACCGCTTTCTGGGACTTTTCAACTTCATCTCCGTTTCTTTTTCTTTGTTTTTTTTTTTCTTTCTTTCTTTCTTACGACGACGTCCAATTGAGAATGAGAATGAGCGAGCGAGAAAAGGGGAGAAAAGGGGAATAATATATCGAGTATATACTTTTACGCTCCTAAAGCCGAGGCTGGCTTCGCCCCTACATGTGTCGCGCACACTCTATCGAGAACCGTCCGGGCCGAAAACGCGGGCACACGTTTTACGTATTACGCTTCTTACGCTTGACGCACATTTACCACGCAAAAATATGCTGATCAACATCTATTCCAGACAAGTCGGTGTCGTTTGAAAAGTCAGTGTCCTTCAGTGACGAGCCACCAGACATGAACTCCCCTAAACAGCATTCCCCGCAACATGCAGGTAACGGCTAAGCGCACGTCACGTAAAACGCAAAACTTATGCTAAGCACGCTGTAAGGCCAGAATAGACCGAGTTACATGTCGTTAGAATACCCGTCGAGGAAGTGGTAGGACGTTTATCCGAGCATTAGAGCGGCGCAGCGCGTCTCGCGCACGAGAAAACTTTTTACTTTACGGCGGCTCCGCTGTGAAGTAAAGAAATTTCTCTTCTCATTTCGGCGAAGTCGGACGAATGTAGATGCTAAAATTCCGGTTTACTTGTTCTCTCTCTCTCTCTCTCTCTCTCTCTCTCTCTCTCTCTCTCTCTCTCTCTCTCTCTCTCTCTCTGTCTCTCTCTCTCTCTCTCTCTCTCTCTCTCTCTCTCTCTCTGTCTCTCTCTCTCTCTCTCTCTCTCTCTCTCTCTCTGTCTCTCTCTCTCTTTCTCTCTCTCTCTCTCTCTCTCTCTCTCTCTCTCTCTCTCTCACTCGAACGGGTTCCTGTGCTCGCACACAGACAAACAGGATGGACAGGAGGACGTCCGTTCAATCGGCGTGACTGTTTATCCTGTCGTGACGACAATACCGATCTCTTCTTGCTGAAACGCTAAAACTTGCGTAGCGTAGCTCCGAGAAACAATACGACACGGAATATCGAATAGTGCAATTGAACGTTTCGCAAGGAGCTCGAGCAGAAATCGGATTTACAGATTTGCAGCCGTGGGATATTATCGAGGGACGCATTCGAGGCATTCGATGCCGATTGAAACCGCCGCGAGTAGACACGGCCTGTAATTATCGGAATCTGTATTGCTGTCTTTTCTTTTTTTCCAAATCTTGCAAAGTACCCGCGTGATTCACGCTCTCGATCCCGATCGGTGCTCACGTTAAACGTTCCCTTTCCGACGCGTTTGCGCGACACGCAGACCTACCTAACTAACAATTCTAAACGAAAAATTGTTTTTGGCGATACGCGGCAGCATTGGATATTCGCCCGATTGGATATTGTTTCTCCGTCAGTTTCCGTTATGCTACAACAAGTGTCGAATATGAGCGTGCTCTAGTCGCGAGGGTTACTTACTTATAGTTGTTAAGAAAATTCAGTCTAATCGAAAGAAGGTCTCCCGAGAGTGAATGGATATTTATGACAGAATGTCGATCCTCTCGCGGTAACGAATACTAACGCAATAATCTCTAACACCTTCTCGTACGATTCTGCAATGCCTACCACGACTAGCGGACACAAAACCTACGAAACCGGCAATCAAATCCTCCACGTTGCCGAGGATGTCGTCGCAAGGTAAAGCTTTCCCCGTGTTTCTCTATTAGGACTGGAACTGTTGGAAGCACCTGCGCGTCTGCTCGAACATGCCCAACACATCAGTTGTTATTTATTATTATTATTATTATTATTATTATTATTATTATTATTATTATTATTACATTACACGTTGCTCTTTTTCGGATAAATTTCTCCTTTTCTCGTTAAAAAGTTGTAACTTTTTCTCTCAGAGTGTAAAATATCCGTGTCCTCAAGCACGAAATATAGGAATATACTTTTCCATGCAATGGCGGTAACGGGATCGCTGCGGGATGGCAGCGGCTCGAACGCTGGTGGATGTTACGCACGATTCGAACAGTTCCAGTCTCGGTGTCAACGCTTCTCCCTTATGTGTCTCACGCTGTGTCCACCGTGTTTGTGTGTTACTCGTAATCAGCGTCGTTCCAAGTCTTTGATACGATCTTCTTCCGTCGTTCCGTTTCGAGCTCTTGTGTCTTATTGATTTGTGTTCCTCGTCCGCCCTGGGGCGACACTGTATGGAGGGCACCGGAAAATTGTAAGTCCACTTTCAAATAAAAGCCGAGACGAGCGTTGCACGTCGACGTAGCTAGGATTACACGGATTAATGTGTTCGTTTCCATATAAATCGATTTTCAAGGTATGCCGTGCGAGGAGGTTTAGTCCAGGCGGAACGGGGAAATAACGAGTAACGAGTTAATCAAGCGCTGTACATAGAGACAGAGAGAGAGAGAGAGAGAGAGAGAGAGAGAAAGCGCATGCCTTTTTTTTATGTAAAATTCATCGAAATCGCATAAAGTGTCAATCTCACGGAGGTTACTCCCATAAAATGTCGCGCTCGGCAATAGCGAGTGTTGACGTTCACTCGATGAATCGAGAGTTCAGCATCTTCCTCTTTCTCTTTTTCTGCCTCTCCTCGAAATTGTATCGCGCGAGAAGAATCACAACTCAAACGAGAAAAATTCACGTCTCATCTCCCAATGGAAGGCATCTCTCTCTCTCTCTCTCTCTCTCTCCTGGCTTTCGATCGGTACTCTAAGTAACATCGACCGATGATGGAGGCGAGACTGTGCCCTTTTCTACGTGCCCTTCATATGTCATCGCATTTTTCGCGAACGATCAACTTATCTCGCGGACATCACGCGTCTCTCCGCGCGGGACAATCCACGCGTCGCGTCGCGTTGTTTCTCACGAGACATTTCTGACGAATATATTCTCCGGGTTTGTTCGATGTTCTCATCCTTCGCGCAAAATGCTTCTCTCTCTCTCTCTCTCTCTCTCTCTCTCTCTTTCCTCTCTTCTTCAGAGACGGAGCAATACGTCACGCCAGCATATCAGACGCCGATCGCGCGAAAAGAGCGTCGCGACAATACTCGCTCCTCGGTCCTAAATTCATTCTTTATTCTCGGTCCAATTCTCGGTCGCCGGGGCGGATATTTTTATTTGTCCCGCCGGAACGACGTCGCCTGTCTCTCACTGTCGCGCGTATCATGAGATCGCTTCATATGGCATCGCGTCCCGCGGAACATTTGTCGCGGCGCGGCTCGCCGCGTCGTGAATTCGTTCTCTCCCGCGCGAGAGTGCTCCGGTCGCGAAAGAGGTCGCATCGGATAACTTCGACGTGCACCGGCAACAAACCAGCGTGTAACAGCCCCAACGCGTGAGGCCTGGCCGAGACTTCTCCGCAGGGCGCAGGGTGTTGTGTGTTCCTTGTGGGACACCTCGGTAAAATGGTATAACTCACGGTATGAGCTCAAGGCTGTCACGCCGGCCGGTCTCTCTCTCTCTCTCTCTCTCTCTCTCTCTCTGTGTGCACACATTATTCCGGCGTCGTTTACGGAGTGAACTCATCATTCACGAATCACTCACGTACAGCGCACAGCGGGACGTATCACGCATACCACCACGCACCCGGTCCTCTTCTCCATTTGAAGCATCAGCGGCGATATTTTCATCCGCCAGTTAGGCCATCCGTCGTGTCCTTTGCTCTTCCGCTCTCCTGCCTTTCGTCATCCGCCCAATCAAACCGCGGCCAATAAAAGTGACAGTAAAATTGTGTCGTCGCCGAGCCGTTTAACCGCCCTGTCCTCTCATTACCGGGCCCGCTCTTCCATCGTGCGAAACTGTCGCGCCGCGCCGCGCGGGACATCGATCACGGCGCGGCAACGAGCGGCGAACGTCAAATCTAATCAGCCGATTTCAGAGCTACCGCGCGCGCCGGCCATGTTGCTCGAAACGGCGGTTCGTTTCCGCGCGTTCACACAATCGGGCCGCGCCTTTCGCGCAAGCTCCGCTTCTCGGGCGAAGCGAAATACAGCGCATGGGGGCTGTCGCATCCGGGCTACGCACCTGCTCGCCTTTGGCCGCAGGAAAAATGCAGGAAAGATAGACGGCTGTCCCGATTTCGTTTAATGGTTTCGGAGTTGATTGCAACCGGAGACTCCGAGTAGAAACGCGCGCCGCGCCTCGTCGACTCCGTCGGCGTTTAGCTTTTTGCTTCTCGTTCTGCTTCTACTTTTTTTCTCTCTTTTTTTTTTCTTTTTTCTTTCCTTTTTTTTTCAATGACTCGTTACATCGTTCGCTCGTGGGACGTTCGCCACGAGGCGTTGCTCGCTGCTCCGGATTCCCCGCGGTACGTCGTTCGCACGGTGAAGGAGACAGGCGCTCGACGTGAGCTTATAATCCTTGAGTGTTGGCGCAAATTCGCCGAAACCGAGAGAAACGCGGGGCTCTCTCACGCCTGCCGAACGAACGATTGCAGAACGCGACAGGCACAAGCCGACGCCACCGCCGAAACCAGCCGCCTTGGTGGCCGGCCAGTACGTCTACAGGGACTTGGCGCTCACGCCGGAGATGTACAACCAGCTGAGGGGCCTGCAGAAGAAGGCGAAGGACCTCAGGCAGGAAGTGAGGAACCTCAGGCGTATGTCGCAGGCGCAGGCGCACACTGTGCGAGAGACCATCAGGGACACGTTCATCACGATCAGGTAGTACGAATGCGCTCTCGGCGAGGGGACGAGCCATCTCCGCTGAGAGAGAAAACTATATCGTTGAATTAACTATAATCTTACTACATTTTACAGTTCATTTTGGCGTCAACCATACTTTAAATAGCTCGTGGAAACCTGCAAGATATAGTAGGATAAACACAAATATATAGTCAATTGATTTTCTTAAATAATTGTCTAGTTACTTTTACCACATATATGTGGTAATTTCTCACTCACAGATATAGTGAGATTTAATATTCATATAGTTATTACATCTGTCATCATTTAGCAAATATTCTGGTAATATTGACTATATAAAAGAGTTACTTTTACCTACGTATTTTATATCTATTTGTATCTATACAATAATTTTAGTTTAACTCACTGTAATATTCTTAGTAAAAATATTATATGGTTGGTTATGCCTACGCCTGTATCGTAATTATTACCGATATTATGGCAATACTTGCTATAAATATGATATTTCGGACTATAATTTAGTTAGACTATATCATTATAGTTCCAAATATCATATACTTTTCTCTCAGTGTCGCAAAAGTTCAATTTATCGGCAAACTCGGAGGAACTGAAAACGGCTCGACGCGACGGAAGCCCGGACGGAGGCTTGCGCGCATCAAGCGCGAGGAAGAGAGAATTTTTATCGGTGCAAATTACACACAATTATTACTGATTATCGCTTCCGAATTATTTGTCGGACATTGTCCTTGAATGGTGGAAATTGCGAGATGGCTCGTGGATCCTTCGAATCGACGAATCCTCGAAATTCGACTGATCCAACTGACGGTTTGCATACGCAGGGCTATGCTATTATCGGGCGGAGACGCGGCTTGGACGGCCGGGGACGCGGAGAAGATTCGACTGAGCCGCGAAGAGGATCTCTACAAGCAGGAGATGATAAGGCTGGAAAAAGATCTCACGTGAGTATCTCCGTTCGGCGGCGAGAATAAGTCGCGCAGTGGCTGACGAACGTTTGCGAATTTCAGCGAGCTGGAGAGCACCGTGGAGGAGCTTCGCGGCAATGTGATCAATAGAAAGACGCGTGTCAATATGTCGGATGTGGAGAACATGGCTTTAATATTGAGTAAATCCAGGTAAGCCGAGCGCTCGTTCGATAGAGTCGATTCCGCGACGAACGAAACGCTGTCGTTGCACACGTCAGTCGCCGCGTCATAACGCGGACGGCTGTCTCCGCGTTACACCCGCGAGTTTCATATCACTTCGGTCATTAGATGACTCGATCGTTCGACTCGATGACTATAAGTGGACGTTATTTCTTCCAGCAAAACCGTCGCTGACTTGAAAGTGCGCTTCCCGAGTCTGCAGGAGGGCATGAAGGGTCTGCTGAGCTCCGAGATGGAGAAGGTGGTGCGCGAGGAGAAGTTCCTCAAGGAAGAACCCGAACGACTGGAGTCTGCGTTGAGGCGTTGCAAGAAACTCACCGGTACACTCGTGACGCTCAAACGGTACGACCCCCTCGCAATCGAGATATCGTTGAGATGCGATACACCACGAGTTTACAAACCTTTCACCGCGAGTAACAATCTTCGCTTGGAAAGAAAAAAGATCACTAGAAGAGCCACTTGGACAGGCGCGCTAATGTTGACTCAGACCTGTTAAGATTAATCAGACGCACATCTCTTTTGACATTCTTTGACGTGACAATCAGAATATCGGACTCTGCGCGAGCATCGGCATTACAAAAGATGCACCTAGTCTTTCAGTATCAGAGATCTGTTGAGATCTCGGGGTCTTCCTCTCCAACGATGAAACTCATGAAATTTCTTGCTCTTTTGCTTAGCTTGGCATCGGTGCAAGAGCAGCGATTACCAAACGCAGCGAGCGTAGATGCCGAGGACACGCCACCGATAACACCGACGACGGCACAACATTCCAAGGTAATCATTCCATTGAACCCGCTCGCTCGCTCGCTCGCTCGCTCTCTCTCTCTCTCTCTCTCTCTCTCTCTTTCTCTCTCTCTCTCTCTCTCTCTCTCTCTTTCTCTTTCTTTTTCTCTTTCTCTCTCTTCTCTTCTCTTCTCTTCTCTTTTCTTCTCTTCTCTCTCTCCCTACCCATCTTTTTTGCCCATCTCTCTCCCCCCCCCCCTCTCTCTCTCTCTCTCTACCTACCTATCTATTTATCTATCTATCTATCTATCTATCTATCTATCTATCTGTCTGTCTGTCTGTCTGTCTGTCTATCTATCTGTCTATCTATCTGTCTGTCTATCTTCCTTCTATCGAAATCCAACTCAGCTCCAGATTCTCCCGTTCCGATTTCTTCTTCGCTCGCCCCGTCCTCGTAAAGCGCGCCCGCTCCCGAAATCCGGAAACACACGCCACCCGTTGCATGCGGTAACCTCCAAGTTTCCCCGACCATCCCTTCGTCCTACGTGTTACGCTTGGAACATCCGTATCCGTTCCTCGACCTGCCTTTCTCTCCTCCGAGGAAGAAGAAAAAGAAGAACCGGGAAGATCGGCTTAGTCACGGCATTTTCGGATTAACGAATCGCGGACTTGATCGGAGCCGTTGACCGGCGGACGAAACAAGCTCTCCGAGTCCTGGCTGCGAAACGCCTCTCCGGTAGAGAGTACGCGTGATCGAGACTCGTCTCTACGACCGATCGCGAACGACGCGCTTCGATGGGAACCGCTCGCCTCGAGGATGTCCGCGATAAACGGGTTTATCCGATGACCGCGCAACGATCGCAATCCCGCAGTCTCTCCTTGTGCCTCCCTCCTTCGCTGCGTGCACATTTTGTCGTGCGGCACACATTTTGTGGCACGGTACACGCCCTGGTTCGTGTGATTATCGAAACATTGGCTTTCGTTAGGAGATGGGCACATCAGCGGCTTAACGAGCGAATTAACGCGGCCGTGATACGTTCTCCAGGAGAAATGTACCATATTCTCGCTAATACCGCGAGCTATGCTCCAGAGAGCGATAGAACATTCCTAATTGTGAAATAGGCGAATGATGCGCAAAAGTCCGCGGAGAATGCAGAGGAAAACGAGGAAAGCGGACACAGGCCACCGATTTCCTTAACGAGTCGATCGCTCTTCGGCGATAATATCGAGCGTTTAATCATTTCCGCATTGTACGCCATTGAGGACGAAGGACGCGGACAAGTGGCGGACGGTAGCTTGGAATGGACGTCGCTCTAGCGGAATCTTCATTTTAAGACTAGAATTTCGATTGCGATTGTGCTATTTGGATATACTCGCGGGAGATTTAGGAATTTAGATAGACATCGGGGAATCGGAATCTTTTAATCCGCGCGATCCTTTCTCGAGAAACGAAACATTTCTCCTGGTGGCACCTGGTACCCCTCACCGCAGACTTGCGTCGTTTGAATGATTAAAACACACATCGCGTACGATTGATCGCACGTCCAAGCTATCCAAGCCGAAACGATACAAACGCAGCAAACGTAACAATTCTCGACACGGGAGACATTCGCGAGAGAGACTTGGCCGCGCTCGATCAGCAAAGTTACACGGCGAGTTCCACGAATCGCGCGCGATCGAAGCGCGATCTCGACGAAAACTCCGGGCAGGAAACGCGACTGTGTGCCCATCGCAGCTTTTTTCTTCACCTTTGCGAACTCGTTCACCGAACACTCTTCGACACGACGGCAATATTGTATAATCTGCTGTACAACCTGTGAACAAAGTAGAGCGTCGATGAGACCACACTCCACGCTTCGTAGATCTTTCTTGTCCCACATAAGTAAGCCGACATGGTATTTTGCAGTGACGTATATATATATATATATACATACTACTCTCCATTACGACCACCGCTTACTCCGTATCCCCCCCCCCATTATTGCTAACAAGCGCATGCAAACGAGTGATATAGAGTTTTGTTCTGGTACATAATATAAATATGTCTATAATCATATACGTAAAACTTGTCTCTCTCTCTCCTTTTGCGTACATATGCATACCCGTGTACATCTACGTCATATGCGTATTGTATATACATACAATGTGTCTAGACAGAACGCGCACACTTGCGACACTCAGTGAAGTCGCGCTGCGCGACGCGCGAAGATGCCGCGCGTCGGTAACGAGAGAAGCATCATGAGGCCTGTCTGATTATGCCCGTCTGCCGATTCGTCGATTGTATACGTATCGAACGTGTGTGTATTATCGTTACGGAGCGTAAGCGAGTGATATATCGTATATTGTTATTCGGGCAAGTCAAGATGCAGCCGAGCGCGCATTTCTCGTATAATTGTAGTGTTCCGGGTAGCGCTCGAGGATTGCGGGTACTCCGACGCCCCGATGCCAGTAGATTCTATCGTTACATTACGGCAAATTGGTATCAAGCCATACCCGCTCATACAGAGAGCTGAATTTCGCTCGGCAGAATCTGCGAGACCAACACGGTATAGATCGATGACTGAAATCGAGCAGATTTGCTTAGCTTAGTGACGGATTGATGTCGGACAGATAGCGCTTACGCTCGCTCGAAGTGCGCTCGATTTATATTTTCGTCCAAGTCCGATAGTCAAAAAGTTGGAATTATCTCACTACGTGGTACGTGTGTCGAAGAAACGGTAGATTATAAACGCACGAGTAAAATGTAGATGAATAACGAATAAATAACGAAGGGTGGAAATCTTTAAATAAGAGATTGCCGGACTCGTTTATAGACCACTGAATTGTTTTGGAACGCTGATGTGATATTTAATGCGATTACTTGTTTTTAAAACCGTAAGTGTAACAACGACGGCATAATCAAACAGACAAGGTGGCTATCGAATCGACGAAAATACCACTTGCGGTGAAAAATTGATCAACAATTGTAATCGCAAAATTCGTTACTTGCCATTATGACAAAAATGCGAATATGTCGAAATACATATAATTATCGATGTCGTCACTAAAACAGTTCAAAGCTTTGCAACGCCTGTTTTACAAACATACTACGTCAGTTAACATCGAATCATCGGTTTTGACAGGCAAACATGACAAAAATATATATCTTGATTTCGAGGAAAATGACTTGATGAAAAAAAAATATCTGCAATAAGAAGATCTCTCGTTTGTGTAATCGGGCTATAAAATTTATTTACAGATGAGACAGCTAACGTACGGTTGCAAGATTTTATTGAATTACGTATTAGTATTATTATTATTATTATTATTATTATTATTATTATTATTATTATTATTATCAAGCGAAGCATCAACATTTTCGTAATATATCGATAGATATGAAATTAAAAATTGGCAAGACATTGTGCTACTTCAAAATCGCGCGAACATAATTTGACTTGAAACGCTACGGCAGATTGCTGTGAGTGCCACGAAAGTTTTCGTTGTCTTTGACCGTCCAGTTAATAAACAAACCCGCGTGACACACAATTCCATCCACCTCGTCCTCGGCTGCTGTTCGCTTAATCCTGACCACTATATCGTTAAAACGATATATGAAATCTGATGTAAACCTTCTCATAAGATCAAGCTTGATCGCTTCGCCTCTTCGCATACGTTGTACAAGAGTACACTTATGTCGAGTACACATTTCTTGAGAAATCTCACGTCACTCACGTGAGGCATATCTCAATGTGAAGGACACATTACTCCGCAGAGAAACAATGTTTGACAGCCGGATTATACCAGACGAGATGTCTGATTAATAAGAGTGGGTTCGTGAATATCAGCAAAGGAACAAAACATGAAACTTTTGTTACTTACAATTGTTACGTGCTATTACGAGCTGTCGTCCCATAACTTCGATGCTAATAAACTCGTCTTGACTTTGATTATTTTGATTGTGAGAAACGCGTGAATTAACACTGTCGCAATTATATCAATTGTTTTCTTCGGTGAAAACATCAGTGCTGAAGGGATATTACTTGTTTGTAAATCATTCCGTTGGATATTTTGAGATATCAGAACTTTTCGACGGAGAAAGAAAAATGGTTTTTTTTCTTCTCTTTTTTTTTTAGGACAAAATCCAGTGAATATATTTAGACTTGACTTCGCAGTTTCGGACACTCAATTCCGCAAGGACGCATTCTTCCAATACAGTTTAAATCTCCGATTATCTTACAGCATACGTCGAAATCGTGCCATGTCGCTTTGCATTTGATTGCATCTCATTGTTACGCGAAACTACGATACGGTCTTTAATTTTCAATATTCATACCAGGATCTTCTCTCACTGTTAACGTTATATGACGAAAAGAACACGATGGATAAGATTTAACAGACATTCCACAGTAACGATGGTCTCTCTCTCAGCCCAGGAAATGCAACATATTCATTTCCATCTGGTCACATGTGAAATACCATCGGGCCTCTCTTGCCATCTTCTACACGTTCTCCCGGGATTAAAACGCTGACCACAAACGTATATGATAATAATTCTTTCTCTCTATCTCTTTTCTTGTTTTTTCTCTCTTTCTCTTTATCTCTGTCTCTCTCTGTCTCTGTCTGTCTGTCTCTCTCTCTCTCTCTCTCTCTCTCTCTCTCTCTCTCTCTCTCTCTCTCTCTCTCTCTCTCTCTCTCTCTCTCTCTCTCTCTCTCTCTCTCTCCCTCTCTCTCTCTCTCTCTCTCTCTCTCTCTCTTCACCTATGTCCCTTCTCTCCGAAGCTTTTCGTCATTTTTTAATTTTTCGTCGTCTTTCTTCGAACCGAAAATCCAGTGTCGTACGGAAATGTTCGGCGAAAATAAAAACTTCTCCTGCAACTTGTCTCTCTCTCTCTCTCTCTCTCTCTCTCTCTCTCTCTCTCTCTCTCTCTCTCTCTCTATTTCTGTCTCGCTCTCTCCTCTCACTCTCTCTCTCTCTCTCTCTCTCTCTCTCTCACTCTCTCTCTCTCTCTCTCTCTCTCTTACTCTGTAATATGGTCCCCTCCACCCTGTTACCCACAAACCAATATTTT